TATCACCGCCTGCGTGTACGCAGGTGACAACCATTTCGAAGCAGGATGTCTATGAGAGCTATTCCTTACAAAGCCGCATGTAGGTACCTAGCGCGCAGCAAGATGTGTGAAATCATTATAATACGAGTAACACTTTTAATTCATTCGCTCTTTGGCGTCTGGGGCAAATAAGTGGTCATCATGAGCACTCGCGGGTACCTTTTGCGGCAGTTCTTGGCGTGGACCTGTACATAGTGTATAAGCATGACAAAGGCATAAGACATTCGTACAGACTCCGATATATTGTAATAAATCATTAATTTTGTGGGTAGCGATGGATTGTGATTTACGGAAAAAGATATGCAGTTTCAGGTGGCAATGTATCCATAACAAGTATTGATACCATTTTATTGCTTTTTCGAAAAAAAAAATTCTTGAAACGCAGCAGCGTTACTGAAATTTAAACTTCCTGGATCCGTACCGCACGGTGGGTAGATGGCTTATATTCCATATTTCAAATAAAAAGGAATGTCATTAATGTATCAGACACAACTTGTTTTATCACATTTCAACATCAACGCATCCTTATTGGAAAACCCTTTATTTGAAGAGTCATCAACGAAAATCTAAAATACACCGTCGTTAACGACAGTGGTTGACATACCGGTGTTCAACTAAAAGAAACGCTAATAGCACTGGACTATCATGAATCTATGGAGGTGAAAATCTAGCTTTGGAATGTACGAGATGCGGGGTTGTCAAGCGAACTAATGATGCAATGTTGCAGAATTCGTGGCGTTCCTGACCTTTCATTTCGACTTAAAGTGGAGCGCCATTAGGACCCATCCGCATAGAAATATCGACAAAATGTAATCTTGCATACTAGGTACTTTTTGGTGTGCAAATAGTTCATTCCACGTTTACTCGCAACGATATGACATGAATTGTTGGTTGCTTGTTGATTGCAGGAAGCAGCGTAGTCTGTAGTGTTTACCTCTGAGAAGATGCGAAAGAAAGAAAGCTGGTTAAGTAACACGACCGCATTTGGATGTCTATTGGTCTGCATGTGGATAAAATCAGTGATATTTGCTATATGAGAAAATTATTACTGAATATGCTGCCAATAATCTATTATATTTATTAGCTGTGCCCGATGGGTTATTTATAAGTTGTGCTTTCTGGAGAGCGGTTGACCCGAGTAAAAATAACATGGCCACGCAAGACAATTATGACAACTTTACTAGGCTCTACAAGACTATCCGTACAAAATTTTTCCCGATATCGTTGCACAGCACTTAAAAATTGCAAATGAAAATTGGAAAATTGACGGCTTGATGTTCCAAATAGCTCCATCGGTACTCCAGGCTAGACATACGTTTTAACAGCTGACCTTGTTGCTACCTTTACTATTTTGTTAGAATGTTATGAAAAAGAAGCTTTAAATAAAATATTGAGGAACATAAATGGAAAAACATAAGATTTAGGGCGTAATAATGTTTTACAAATAGCTAAAGGTGATTTCGATAAATATTCCTCTCGTACGTACAAGAGCAAGCAAAACAAGACTGGTGGTGTTTATGTTTTATGAGAATTTGTATATTTACGAATTGTTATTAAATGTTTAATGATTTATATCTCGTGCTCACAATTTGCACATAAACATGCATCATTTAAACTATTTAAATAGTGTGTGTCTAGGTATTTTGGGGTAACATCAACAGTAGCAGTAGCCCCACGGTACTCTATGGGTGCTTAGGCCTTAGGCCTTCGTGGTAGTTGCAGTATAAAAAAAGCAAGATCTTTTGATATTTTAATGGCCATGTTATCTATATTCATGCCACTAAGGTAAAACTTTTTACGTTTCATAAATATTCCTGCCTGTGGCATATTTTCTTGACTATACTTCAGCAACCAGGATTTTCTTTTCTCATCTCTCTCATTTTGGAAATTCAGCATATTTGCATATGTAATTTCCAGGATGAATAAGAAAAAGTGGATGCGCATCTAATTTCTAGCTTTGAAGGCATCTCAAGTAAGTTTATTTGATACAAGAAGCCAATGGACACAATCAACACAGATTATTAGCACACAAATCCTCACTATGCACCTACGCACTGCCGTTTCCTTCCAGCAGCTATAGTATACAACTTACAGCTTAGATCTCCAATAATGTCATCTCTGAAGCAGATGTTATATCAGATCAGAGCTAAACATTGATAGCTGAAGCATCATGACGTTTACACAGCACGCACAGCTACAAAACGAGTTCACAACAAGTGTACAACAGCTAGTGCTAAGTCGGCATCTTGTAGAAAAACCTACGTTAAGTCACAAAAAATCTATAAAATGTCAAAAAACGACAAAATGCCACTTTTCAAGATATGTAATACGCGTGCCGGAATCAATTCTAAACAGATTCGACTAAACTCACAATTACACAATTTGTACGCTCAAAACAAAACCATTATTTGGGCATAGAGAATTAAATAACGCATATCTTCAGCATGCATCATACTTCAAGAAACTGGTCTAACATATTGGGAACGCGGAATGTTTCCGGGACCTTCCGCGCTTGCGTTGCTAGGCAACGTGGTGATGAGCGACCCACCACTTCGCTGCCCAGCCGACTTCTCTCTTTTTATAAAATATGTGTTTTTACAGACTTTTTGCGCTTTTCTCTCGTCTGTCAATTCTGGATTTCACTGTAGAAAGAACACAAAGCGACAAAAAATCTCTCCCCTTGCCGCATGCTACAAGTTGACCGTTGTTGACTGTCGATTGTGGCATCCGTCGACATTTCGACACTTGATGATTCAGCGTGTCGAACAGTAGAGAGCGGGAACTTAGAGCGGGAACAGATGGAATTTCCCCTTCCTCTTGAAGTTTTGAAAGTTTCAAGTTACACCGGGAGTGGTTAGATGGCGCATGATGCGCAAAATGTTTGCTTTAAGCTCCTTGATAAACTTATGAGTAGTTGCCTTCTTTGAATCTGATATAAAAAGACCGATCGTTTTTTGTGCAATGCACATATACAAGTATATCAATCAAATCAACCATTTGATATGAAGTGCGGTTCTTATATCTTCGATGACCTTCTCCCTCGTCATTTAAAATCAGGTGAACGTGTTCCTCCATTTATGATTATTAAATCATAAATAGAGGAAATTATTAAATTTAACTCAATTTTCGGCACCGAAGTTAGGCGGTTAACCGTACCACGTGATTTTTTGACATTTGGATGACGTCACATCCATCTTCCCCTATTCCCGTTCTTCGCGAAAATTTGAGTATCAGTTCCCGATAGTGCACTGTTTAACCAACAGTCAACGGATCGGTGCGGTTTGGAGTGAGCGACACGGAGTGGAGGAACGAACAAATTTATTGACGATTACCATGATGTCCCTGCATTATGAAATAATAAAATCGCCCAAAACAAAGACATAAGAATTAAAAATTGTTTTGTAATAAAGTTTCACAATTATCGGGTAAACATAATTATTGTACGGTGATGAAGGTAAAAATAATTGGTTTATTTGTTATTGATTGAATTATTTAAATAAAATATATTTTACGGTGTTGGAGGTAAAAAAATAATAGTAGTAGTCATTGTTGGTCAGAGCGGTCCGTCAGAGTTTTGCTCTTCAGGCATCGTAGGTCAGTAGGTCTGTCAGGTCTGGTTGCCCAGATACCAGACACAGTCAGGGAGAAAGAAGGGAAGAAGAATGAAAGGAAAGAAGAGGAACAGCAAAGAGGAGGAAGCGCGTCTGTTGGAGGAGTGCCTTAAAATTAACTAGTATTCAGTAATTTTAAATTGATCCAAAAATTAATTTAGGAATAAGTATGTGTAGACATACCATGGTGCGTTAGTGATAGTATGGTAGGTTCTGTTCTGCAGAACCTGAAGACGACCAATATGCGTTTTGGCAAGGAAGCACAATGCACATGCGTAAGTGCATTGTGTTTCCATCTTGTATAGCCGAACTTCCTCCATCAAACTTAATTTTGAGGTACTAGACAACATATATTAGAGTTGCGGAAACGCAATTTGGAATTTAGTTTTTAACGCTTCAGTGTGCTTCTGCCAAGTCATCCCCTTGTCAAGCGTGACACCAATATACTTGACAAAGTGGTACACGAACTCCATTTAATGAAACCTCAGACGGGGCTCCGCTACGTTTTTTAGTTCCACACATAGCCTGCGTTTTCGAGTAATTGATTTTCCAATATCTCATCCACCGCATTTTGTAACCTGTCGTGAACCAAATTTCCAGAACTCGACTCGGTCACCAGTTCAGTGTCATCAGTATATATACGTAAATATAGTTCACAACCGCTGGGGCAACCGACGTCATGAGCGAAAAGTAAATACACGATTGATCCAAGAATCGAACCCTGCGGGACACCGGCTCTGATAAGCCGCTCTGCCGACAAGACATTATTAATTTTGATCCGAAATTTCCTACCCTTAAGTGAATATTTCAAAAGCTTTAGGAGCCAGAATGGAAAGCCCTTTTGGATTAGCTATTAGAGAAGGCCCTCGTGCCACACTTTGTCGAATGCCTTCGAGACATCTAGAAGCAAGTTGCCAGTAATGTCGCTAAGCCCCTGGTCACTCGTTCCACAAGCTTATCCGCCTGTAACTCCGTAGTATGCTTAGACCGGAAGTCAAATTGCACGTCAGAAATCACATGGTGATCTGACGAGAAATCCTCAACGTGACAGTAGCTCATCACGTAACAAGAACGGAAATTGGTTTTCTTATGAGCTAACAAGCTTTTAATTGGACATTGATATACTCAGTTCAACGTTAGGATTGAAGGCGATTACCAAATAAGAGGCTGCCGTAACTGTTTGTAATAACATAATGTACCAGGCTGAAGTTGCTTGAATGGAATTGCTTTAGAGGTTTGAATTTTGTGCCACAATCTACCGCCTACAATAGCCACTAGGTAACAAGAGTCAGGTCACATGTCTTTTTTCAGTGTTGCCACAGTGGAATAGCGCCTTTATTTTTGTCGTAGGAAAGCAGCAGAATTTTAAGAATGGCATATATGGTCTTGTAGCACAGGATGTATTCCGATATCTGACCCACCCCAAGTATGCAAGAATGAATTACAGTGTTTCAGCCAGCTTTTTCGAAATATACGGCAAACTAGTATTTGACCTGCTGGCGAAAAAACAACGCCTGCGTGTTTTGGAGGATGGTAAGCAACAAGTTCAAGTTGTTGGATTGACTGAAAAAGTGGTTAATAAGGTAAGTACAAATTGAAATTCTAGGTACTCAATTTACACTTTACTTCAGATATGGAAAATATGTGGTATTTTAGGGGTTTTTCGATGCTTATGTCCATATGCGCCTAGTTGCTGCAAGCCAGATCTGTCTGAAGAATGGATTAGCTCAGATGCAATGCCCGGTTACACGGCCTTGCAAAAGTAAACTTCAAGCTAAGCTGAATCTTAGCTTCCATGTTTTTGTTGCACCAAATACACTAGAAATTTGAGTGGAAGTTAAGCAGACAGTTGAGCTAAGCCAAATAATTTCTCCGCTTAAGATGGATTTTCTGATCTAAAACGTCAACTTGCCCGATTGACATTTTTATGATTTGACCGATTTGACCGCCTATCAAGTTCTTGGTAAATTAAAATCTGCGGATACGGACAGTGTTTCTAAGTTCGTCATTGAGCTCTAAAAAGCTCGCGTGATGATAGTATTTTGTAGCTACTCGTGAAAAACAACAACCAAGTTTGGCCATGTAAACTAATGAAGATGATCTAAAGGAAATTCCAGGTGATAGGATAGGATTTATCGAAAGCCTCCGATTAAAAGAAAAAAGACACGTCAAAAGATTTGTCAAGGGGGACATCTTTTAAACCAAAAACTACTTCACCCCATTTCACATCTGATTGAAAGAAAAAACGCATAGGAAAAACACACGAAAATCTCATTTTTTATTCCAATAAGTGTTCAAAATGTTGCCCGTCAGTTGCCAAATAATGATATAGGTGCTGTACAAATTGCTGGCGGACATTTTCAAAAACATGTTTTTTTATACTTCAGCTACCACGAACGCCTAAGGCCTAAACACCTATGGGGTACCGTAGGACTATAGGGGGGTACCGTAGGACTATAGGGGGATACAGGGGAAAGGGGGGGACGCCACACGGACTCTAGTGAGGGAACACGTGTGCAGCATCCACACATTCTGGGCCCGCCTACGCGATCCGCCGGGTGGTATCTCCGCGTACCACAGTCAGCGACCGTCTACCACCTACGGACAATCACAACATCCATAGCCAAGAGAAACATTTTTTTTGGGACGGCAATCGAACCCTCGGCTACCCAGGGTCATTCCTTTAAAAATTTCAAATGACAAGGAGTAACAAGTAACAGCTTGTTGGAAAGGTCTTTCGAAGACCTTTTTGACGTTCGATTTCTCAAGATCAGTCGAATCGTTTTCGAGAAAATTAGAAAAATCTTTATTTATCTTAATGTGTTCAGATAAAAAGCAAACACGTACGAAAATATCAGTTTTCATTTCAATAAGTGTTCATAATGTTGCCCGTTAGGGTTTATCAAACCTAAAATTCGTTTATAATTTAAAAAGGAAACTACCAACATAAACAGCAATTCAGAAGATAAGTCGTGGTAACAACCAAATAACAACCCGAATTTTTTTCCGTATTCTTTTCATCAACACAGATATCCTGGGTGAACTGTATTTATTGTTATACCTTTTTAGTTATTTGTTGCTAAGGAAAGAAATAATTTAATTTGCTGTCAGTTACCTTTGTGGCAATTGACAATCTTGGGATAGTGAAAATTAATTTATTGCTCCAGATTTTACTTCCAAAATGGTTTACACACCAGCCGAAAGTAATGATACTAATTTATATATATTTAACTTTGCATATGTATGTTTTGGACCTTATTACTAAATTTACTCAAACTGGATCTGTTACAAATAAAAAACGTGATCATCGGAGAGTTTTGGATGAAGCCGCTCAAGTTGAAGTTTTGGGTCATTTTGGAATAAATCCTAATACTTCATTACGCAAAATTGTTGTTGCGACTGGTATTTCATTGGGCTCTGTACACACAATTACTAAACTCCATAAATTTCATCCGTCCAAAATGAAAATATTGCAAGAGTTAACCGAATGTGATTTCGATAGGCGAGTTGAGTTTTGTGAACAAATGACTGCAGCGATTAATAATAATACCATTCATGTAAAGAATATCTGCTTGAGTGATGAATGCACATTTTATCCAAATGGATATGTGAATAAGCATAGCTGCAGGTATTGGAGCAACGAAAATCCTAATTTTTGTAAAAGGGCATACCCAGTACAGCTAAAAAGCTAATGTATGGGCAGGCATTTTAGGAAATACAGTGATTGGTTCATTGTTTATTAATGGAAATTTGAATGGAGACATTTATTTGGTTATGTTGAAAAATACCATCAATCCGCTTATCACTGAAACCATTGAAAACTAAATCGAAAAGGATGGAAACCCTATACTTGATGAGGCTGGAATATATTTCCAGTGCTCCACCTCACTACGTTCTTCCGGTTTGGCAATGGCTAGTTGACGAGTTTCCAGATAAAGTGATAGGGCGGAGGGCCTATAGAAAGGCCTGCTAGATCTCCTGATTTGACGCCATTACACTTCTTTCTATGGGGCCATTTGAAATCTATTGTGTCTACTCCCCAACCTGTTTGGATGAAGTTTGGGTGAACTTGGTCAACGCATCATCGAAAGCTGCCATGATATTCCACAACATTTAGCCAGCAGCGGTGGTCTCAGTAGTAGACGCTCGGTCTCCTAATCAGTCGCCGTGCGCTGCGCGGGTTCGAATCCCGTCCCAAGAGAATTGTTTCTCTTGGCTATGGATGTTGTGATTGTCCGTATGTGGTAGATGGTCTCTGACTGTCGTACGCGGAGATACCACCCGGCGGATCGCGTAGGCGGGGAAAGAATGTGTGCATGCTGTACACGTGTTCCCTCACTAGAGTCCGTGTGGCGTCCCCCCTTCCCCTGTATCCCCCTATAGCCCTACTGTACCCCATAGGTGTTTAGGCCTTAGGCCTTCGTGGTAGTTGAAGTATAAAAAAACGTGTTTTTGAAAATGTCCGTCAGCAATTTGTACATCGCCTATATCATTGTTTGGCAACTAAACGCCAACATTTTGAATATTTATTGGAATAAAAAATGAGATTTTCGTGTTTTTCCTATGCGTTTTTTTCTTTCAATCAGAGGGTGAAAGGGGGTGAAGTAATTTTTGGTTAAAAAGTTGTCCAACTTGACAAATCTTTTGACGTGTCTTGGCGTTTTTCATTTTAATCAGTGGTTTTCGATAAATTCTTGGTGGAAGTTTTGAATAAATCAGACAGAAAAATCACTTTCAGTCAATCTAAATAAATCTAAATTTGGTGTGAAAGAAAACAGAAAATCAATCCAACCAACTGATTTGCAGCTGGAGATGTGATTTCTATTTAAAGTTACTATAGATGCACTGCTATCAGATGTGAACTTGTCTTAGTTAAGTTGTTACCAAGTCGGAGTGGTGCAATAAAAACTCGACTCCTCTAAGTAATAGATTTGAGAAAGGCGGTGCAACCGGGCAATTAATATCGCTCGCTGTCGACCAGACCTGCTGTCAACTAGCAAAACTCAGCATGAACTATTTCATATACATCAATCAACCTAGAAGCTTCCAAAATTTTTAAAATAGTCCATTCAGACGACATCTGGCAGTCTAGGGCTAAGTCATACTTCACGTAGCGGCTAGGAGCAATCATTGATCTTTAGTTCCAAGCACACTACTAAAGCTCTAAGAAAATTGATGTAATAGTTGAGGCATAGGTCCATGAGGAAGGATCATGGATTCAGTTAGGGATGGATTATAATATTGTGTGGTGTGTGGCTAATTAAAAAGTTCGTCTGCATCATTCCGCCTTGCGATAGTAGCGCTTTTTGTGTATTGAAGTATGGTCATCTGGGCAGCCTCTAATAGATTAAAATTTAAATCAGCTGGTGCTAAAATAATCTTTGCATGTAATCATATGAAGCAATACCCGCTACACCGTAACGTGTTATAAACGTAGCGTAGTACTGAACTTGAAAAGTTGACACTACGCGGTCCTTCCTTACCTTTGAATGTCGGCAGGCGGCTGAGAAATCGTTATTCGAAATTATTTTTTGTGCGACGAATTCTGTCAATGTCAACAGCTATACTGAAATGGAAGGCTTACTAAAAACACTGCAATCATCCGTCCGACCATAGAGAGCCAACGGTGCTGTTTTATGAGTTTTGGCAATCATCAGCACGATCTAGACTTGGTCTCAGGTAGGACAACGAACGAAAGCACTATCTTCTATCTTAAGTATAAGGTTTATCGAAATAACGCATGAGCACAAAGTGCCATCTGTTACAAGAATCGACCATTACGAGAGTGAACGGCAGTTGTCAGTTGGAACTGCAACGTATCTCAATTATATTATGTAAATATATGAAAAATGTTTACCCTATGTCCGTCCTTGAGGTCGAGTCTATATCTGTGCTAAAATTTAGCGAAATTATAAAAAAAGTTCCCAATACTGATTACTTCAGTATTCTAGGAGATGGATGGATGTTTCAGGCACTGAGCAATTATCACTATGTTTGCGATATGTCGATTTTACGAAGGACCCGAACACTCTAGTATTGAGAGAAGATTTTGTTGGATTTGTCCCCATAGATGATCAATGTTCCGAGAAGCTCAGTAACGTTATTCTGCAGCGATGTAAGGAGTTGAAACTGGACATGAATAATTGTTTCGGACAAGGATACGATGGAGCCGCAAACATGGCAGGTCATTTGAGCGTACGATTCATCGTTTGAATGTTTCAAATGCAATGTCAATCCCTTGTGATCCGCAACTCTCATGGAGTCGTTGGTCAAATCATAAGTCTTTGTAGAAACACTTCGAATGCAAATAAAGTTTTTCAAAAAACCGTCCAAAAATGTGCTCCAGACAGTAAAAAAAAAGAGACTGCTTTGTCTTTGTGATACAAGATTCATTGAAAGGCATGAGAGTATAATCACATTCGTAGAACTTTTTGAATGCATCGCCATGAGTCTAGAAGAAATGGCTGGCAAAACATGGTCTGTATCATCAACAGCATCTGCTCTTTTTGCTGCAATTAAAAAAAGTGACTTTATTGTGGGTCTTTTGGTATGTGAAAAACTGCTTACTTTAACTCTTCCATTG